GTGGTTCTTATTTTTAGTCAATTTATTACAAAAAAATTATATCTCCATGACTTTACCGAAAGAACCAAAGACTAACACTAACGTCATGGCTTCTTGTTTTGTCCCAGTAAATCTCACTCATCCGCCCGGTGTACAGGCGAGAGGGCCGCGACCTACTTGCTGTACTGCCTCGCGGACAGGCACCGTGGAGATAGGGGGCGGGGCGAGGGACGAGCACAATTTGCGCTCTGCGTGGTTGCTGCCAATTCTGGACCCACCTCTACTGGTGCGTTGGTCACGACGGGGCTATTATTGGCCATACTTCACCACGATGGGCAGTACGCGTTGGTGCTCTCCGTCTCGCCCTCGCCGAGTACCTGGACTGGTGCGGGTGTCCTGATGATGGCCCCGCGGTGGTGAGATGTTAACTACCTCGCCTGGTACACAGGAGGTCGTGAGTTCGATCGCGACTCTGACCCCTGCTGCTGTATAGTTGGAGTCTGCGTGTTCTCCTCGTCGATTTTTCTCCGAGTCCTCCGGTTTTCTCTCTCCACATTTAGAAACACGCGTTTAGAGCATTAGGCCACTATAAATGTCCACACCATAATCCACTTCGTTGAGCTATCATTTGTGGCCAGGTCGCTTCTGAAGAAGAACGATATAGCATCAGTGGGCCTTACCTGGTAAAATATTTTTCTAAGTTTTTCGTTTTTATCTCAGCAATAGCTCCTCAAGTCTCACACGGATCTCAAGATTCTTCGCCTCGGCAAGGTGTTGATGCCTCGTTGAAGATGATGATGAAGATGATAATGGTGATGGTGTTGATGATGTTGTTGATGATGGTGTGTCTATGATGATGGTGTTGATGATGATGGTGTGTCTATGATGATGGTGTGTCTATGATGATGGAGTTGATGATGCTGTGTCTATGATGATGGTGTTGATGATGATGATGGTGTGTCTATGATGATGGTGTTGATGATGGTGTCCATGATGATGGTGTGTCTATGATGATGGTGGTAATGATGGTACTCTTAGGTTTTTCGGTAAAGTCACGTAGGTAAAAAATAATAGAAATAATCATAAAAATAAAATAATAAATCACGACGTTTCGGAGGCAACACAAGTCTCCGTCATCAGGTGGGACCGTCACAGCTAGATTTACTGTCTCAAGTGAGGCAAAATTCCAAGAGACAGTAATTTTAGCTGACGGCCCCACCTGATGACGGAGACTTGTGTTGCCTCCGAAACGTCGTGATTTATTATGTTATTTCTATTATTATTTCTATTTTTATTTTACCTACGTGACTTTACCGAAAAACCTAAGAGTATGAATCCTTTCAGTCACGAAAGCTTCAAATCTAGGATGATGATGGTGTTGATGATGATGATGGTGTTGATGATGGTGTGTCTATGATGATGGTGTGTCTGTGCAGGAACAGTCGCTCATTCGGCACTGCTCACGCCTTCCTCTGCATTCACTCACCGACCGTGTAAGAAGAGTTATCTCAAGCCGAGAGTAACACACGAGGCAAGCTGCCTTTATTGACTCGGAAAGCTTAGAAGTTCCACTGGTTAATCAAAACAGCGACGTTACGCGTAATACAGTCTCTACATTGGTAACGCCATTGTGAAGTTACTATTCTAATAATCTTAGTAAACAATACGCACAACCAAAGGATTCCTTTCGGCCGGGGTCTGTCTGGGTCGGTGGGCCTGGAAATTATATCCGCGCCCGGTACACCACATCCAGTATAGCCCTCACTGTGAGCTGTGGCCACTGTGATTGCGTGGCAACACCGATTCAAGTCATCTCCACAGCGAGCCGGCCGGGAAAAAAAAAACCAAAAAAATATTCGGTGTGAAATGAAGCCCTCGTTATGACATCGGTGTGATTCAATCGCACACAGGATGCATTCAATGAACACGCAGAGTCTATTTCACCTTCGTGGCTCTGAACCAGTAGTCGTACGTCCTTAAAACATGAACACAAGCTCGTCATAATGCATTTTAATAAAATATAAACACGGACATAAATATTTAGAGAACACATCAAACATTCACGTGTTGTGTAGAGTACATCACCGGGACACACGGATATATTGCTCGAAACTCATATTGCTAACGCGCGCGTACACCCAGCAACACGATCTATAATAATAATACTACTCGCAGCGTGTGCGCTGAATGCATCCATCCCAAAGTGATCCATGAAGCCACGTGCTCACAGCGAGAGGCACTGGGATGCCAGGGACACGTCTACTCGAATAAGTGCGAGCGTCAAAACACATTACCACCTCGTGTGTGTGCGTGTGTGTACGTGTGTGCGTGTGTGTGCGCGCGTGTGTCGTGTGTGTGTGCGGGCAAAGTCCCATCGGTGAGCTCCTCCGGCAGGCAAGGCTGCGTTGGCTGGGACATGTAGCCCGCATGCCCAGCTACCGCATGCCTAAACAGCTTTTGTTCGGCCGAATCGAGGGGGCTAAACGGGCGCGGCACGGGCTAGAGAAGAGATGGAGTGATGTGGTACAGGAGGACGTGGAGCTGAGTGGACTTGCCGATGACTGGTACCAGCGGTGTCAAGATCGGCCTCTGTGGAGGAGGCTCGTGAAGGACGCTACTGGGCAGTTAGAGGCAGTCCGCCCTCCAACAACAACGGAGGGCGGAGGAGCGACGCTCACAACAACCAGCGGAGCACCGGGTGGTTAAAGCACAGCAAGTTGGCACAGTAGGGGGTAGTCATCTCGGTCATCTCAGTCAGTCGACCCGTGGCACCTGGGTCTGCCCCGTGACCTCCTGCCAGCGGGCGTTCGACACTTCACGTGGCCTCAAGGTGCACATGGCCTGGCACAAGCGTCGTGGTGACGTCACCGCCACTTAGTGGCGAATGGCGGTTGTTGTTGTACGTGTGTGTGCGCGTGTGTGTACGTGTGTGTGTATGTACGCGCCTGTGTGTGGGGAGCGGTAGTGTAGCGGTTAGCGCTACGCTGCACTACGAACCTGGCAACCCGGGTTCGATTCCCGCTCACGGCCAACACCGGTGGCGATTATTTTAAACCGTCCTAGCCCCCCTCCCTTAGGTCGACTCAGCCTCAAAAGAGTACCTGGTGCAGTGTGTAAACATCGCCACTCGGGAGACAAAGGCGGCCGGGCGTGGTGCTGGGCACCCACCCCTTTGTGTGCCTTTCCGGCCTTCATAGGTGCTACTCGCACACAGCTCGTGCCCCAACAGCCTGTTAGAGGCGAAACGTGGGATAGTTATATTTTGCGCGCGCGTCGTGTGTGTCTTTGCGTGTGTGTCTGAGCGTGTGTGTGCGTGTGTGTGTGTCTTTGCGTGTGTGTGCGTGTGCGCGTGTGCGTCTGAGCGTGTGTGTGCGCGCGGGCGTGTGCGCGTGTGTGTGCGAGCGTGTGTGCGAGCGCGTGTGTGTGCGCGCGTCATGTGTGTCGTGCGTGTGTGTGCGTGAGCGCGTGTATGCGTCTGAGCGTGTGTGTGAGCGCGTGTGTGTGCGCGCGTCATGTGTGTCGTGCGTGTGTGTGAGCGCGTGTATGCGCTCACGCTTTTGGCAACCAGAGACAGGTTACAGAGACACCGGCATGCACTTGTTGTGTAAGGTTCTGTAAGGTGCACAACTCCCGACGTGTCCGTTCACACACCGCCGAGATGCATCTCCGATTGACGCATGGCGGCACACGTGACCTCCAATCCCCCACCCCTCCCCTCCCCCTGCGTGGCGAGGGCCGTCTGGAACGCTCTTCCTTCCGATATTAGGAAGCCACAGGAGCTATGCACTTTGAAATCATCTCGATTGTAAAGTTATTTCTTTAAAACTGTACCGCCCACCCCGTCACACCTCCGATTAGCACCGTTGGCTGGGTACGGTGCGAAAGAAGTTCAACGTGCATCCACACGTTCCTCAGTGGTCACTTCTGCCCCCCTGCGAGAGAGAGAGGGAGGGCACCTTGCAGCGTCGTTGTGTTCACCTACGGAAGATACTCTCACCCTCGAGGTCTCGATCAGTGCGGCTAAGACGCAGCGGTGGTGGCGGATAGTAAGGACTCGTGTGGTCGCAGGTCTGGATAAGTCACGGGGCGGAGGTTCTACACCGCTGCTTGAGCGGAACGTTTCGAAATGCGAGCCCACAAGAATACGCCAACCAGAAGCCACTGGCGGAGTGCGTTAATTGGCAGTTTCTATAACACTGGCTGGCACACTAATTGGTAGTGATGTAACACTGTCACTCTAATTGGTAGTGATGTAACACTGGCTGGTACACTAATTGGTAGTGATGTAACACTGTCACACTAATTGGTAGTGCTGTAACATTGGCTAGCACACTAATTGGTAGTGATGTAACACTGTCACACTAATTGGTAGTGATGTAACACTGGCTAGCTCACTAATTGGTAGTGATGTAACACTGTCACACTAATTGGTAGTAATGTAACACTGTCACACTAATTGGTAATGATGTAACACTGTCACACTAATTGGTAGTGATGTAACACTGGCTAGCTCACTAATTGGTAGTGATGTAACACTGTCACACTAATTGGTAGTGATGTAACACTGTCACACTAATTGGTAGTGATGTAACACTGTCACACTAATTGGTAGTGATGTAACACTGTCACACTAATTGGTAGTAATGTAACACTGGCTAGCTCACTAATTGGTAGTGATGTAACACTGTCACACTAATTGGTAGTAATGTAACACTGTCACACTAATTGGTAGTGATGTAACACTGTCACACTAATTGGTAGTGATGTAACACTGGCTAGCTCACTAATTGGTAGTGATGTAACACTGTCACACTAATTGGTAGTGATGTAACACTGGCACACTAATTGGTAGTGATGTAACACTGTCACACTAATTGGTAGTGATGTAACACTGTCACACTAATTGGTAGTGATGTATCACTGTCACACTAATTGTTAGTGATGTAACACTGTCACACTAATTGGTAGTGATGTAACACTGGCTAGCACACTAATTGGTAGTGATGTAACACTGTCACACTAATTGGTAGTGATGTAACACTGGCTAGCACACTAATTGGTAGTGATGTAACACTGGCTAGCACACTAATTGGTAGTGATGTAACACTGGCTAGCCCACTAATTGGTAGTGATGTAACACTGGCTAGCATACTAATTGGTAGCGCTATAACTCTTGCGTGCACACAGCGACGCGTTCCTTTGAGCACACACACATCGCCTTAATACTGAAACAATACGGAACTGTTCATGATATATATAATAAAAACTATCTGTATATTTATATATTTCAAAATATATATATAAACTCAATCGTATCCTATCCTAGCACGTGGATGTTAATGTACAACTTGTGACGGACGCAATCGATGTTCATGGGACGTGGCTCGCGTCAATTTCAATTTGCGAATCGTCACACAAAGTCAAAGATCCCCCGTGTAGCCTCAACAGACTGTTGGGGTAAGTGCTGTTCGCGAGCACCTTTGAAAGCCGGCACAGCACACGAGGGGGTGGGTGGCCAGCGCTACGCCTGTGCGCCTTTGTCTCCCTAGTGGCGATGCTTTTACACACCGCACCAGGTACCCGTTTGAGGCTGAGTCGACCTAGGGGAGGCCGAAGACTGGTTCAAATAATGGTCGCTGGTGTTGGCCGTTCGCGAGAATCGAACTCGGCTCGCCCCGTGTTGGCAGACACATACCACGCACGGGCACAGTCGTAAGGGAATGTCCGGGACGACCAAAGCAGAGATGGAGCCACGAGCGAATTCCAGGCGGCATCCGGAGCGCGCGACGTGGCACCCCGCGCGGAGAGCGAGAGAGGCAGGGAGATGTTCGTCATCCGTCCAGCAGTGGCTCGATGCGCCCCCCTCGTCGTCTCAGCAGGAGCACCTGCACTCGGCTATGATGGGATACTGGATCTTCAGCCACGTGCAGTTCCTGTGCGCGCCCCACCCACGGCAGTACCAGCGCAGGATGGCCTTGCTGGTGGAGCGCTGCGCCTTGCAGCTCATGCCCGCGGGGATGGAGCACGAGCGGCCGCTCTGGCAGCTGCCCTCGCGCACGTAGCGAGGCCAGAAGCGCGCTCCCAGGTCCTTCCACGCGTACGCCACGGGGCACTGGGTGTAGGCCCACAGGAAGAGCTGCATCTTGCGCCGCGCCTTCCTGCCCAGGGCGCCGGCTCGCGAGCCCCTGGGGTCCGGCCAAGCGGCACGCGCGAAGTCCATGTCCCTGATCTCGCTCGGCATCACGCGGTCGCGCCACGCCGCCGAAGCAGCCGCAGCAGCAGCAGCCGCGGCCACTCGGCCGTGCTGCGGGGTCCGCGCGTGCGGCTCGCCGGGCTCGCTGGCGTTCTTGGCGAGTCCGCGGGCGCGAACTTCGCCCGGCGCCGCGACGGACATGAAGGTCGGATCGAAGTGGCTGCCCAGCAGCCTCCTCAGCACCCTCTCGTCCAGGTCCTTGGCCTTGGGGTCGAGCTCGGGGTCCGGGTACTCGATGAGGTCGGTGAGGGGCAGCTCCTCGCTGGGCACGGGGCGCAGGTGGAGGAAATGTTGCGCGGCGCTGCCCTCGATCCGCAGCAGCAGCAGCAGCAGCAGGGGCAGCAGCAGGGGCAGCAGCAGCAGGAGCAGCGGCGCGGGCTCCGTGCGCAGGGACCCCGGCATGATGGTCTCGGCGCGCCCATGCGTGACGCTGACGGGCGGTCGGCGATGGGGCCGCGGAGGAGACCCGCGCTCGCTTTTATATTCGCGACGCGAGGATTTGGAGCGCGCCGTCATCCGCGGCCAAAGTCGGTGGGGGCGCGGGTGGGAGGGGTAGGGGGGCCGTGGGGTGGCGGAGCGGGGGCGGCGAGGCAGCGGGGGGGAGGAGGAGGGGATGAGAAGGCTGGCCCCGCTGGTCGCATGTCGAGACCCTAATTAGGGCGCATTGTGCCGCGTCGCGTGAAACACACCAAGCTAATTCACTGGCGAAATTCAGAGCGGCCGCGCCGCAGTTTCTATAACAACCGCGGGCCGGCGGCGTCGGCGGCGGCGCCTACTCCGCGCGCCTCTTGACGTTGGTGGCGCGGTGGAGGAGGGAGGGAGGAGGAGGGGGGCCGGGGCCCGGGGCGACCCGTCTAGACTCGCGGCACCGCCGAGCGGCCCGCGGAACGGGGCCGCGCCCGCCAGCGACCCCGCGCCCGGGCGCCGGGCCGCGGCGGCGCTGTTTTATGGCGGCGCTGGGCTCGCATCTGCTGCCCGGTGCCGATCTCGTGCCGAGATGGGAGAGAGAGAGAGGTGGTGGTGGTGGGGGCTCGTGGGAGGAGGAGGGCAGCCCCTACCCTGTATACACGGGAGTAGAGTGCGAGTGTTGTTGTTGTTGTGTGGGGGAGCGGTGGCGCGGTGGTTAGCGCACTGTACGCAAGCTCCGGGCACACGTGCTGCCGTGTGCTGCGCGCATGTTTGTGCCACGTAGGGAGGGTTGCCGCTGGGGGTCCCCCTTGACATTGCCATGGTTTAGATGAGATGCCATATGTGGAAGGGTTTTAATTTGCTGAGACGTTCAAGCAAGCGCCATATACAGATCACATACATATACAGATCACATGGCGACTCGAGTTTGACATCAGACCACGGCTAACATCAGTGGCACAGGAGATGATATCTAAACCGCTCTGCAGCTCAGTCAAGCTCTGCGTGTGCGATCACGCCCGCTCCACAGGGGTGCTGCGGGACGGTGGCACGGCGCGTCCACCTCGCCTTAGCGTCGTGTTCACGTTGAACTTCTTTCGCACCGTACGTAGCCAACCGTGCGAATCGAAGGTGCTTCGTCTTCTTGCTACCGGGATCGACAAGTCACCGAGCATGGGTGGACATTCCGCGTTCCTATGACGGGACGAGGCTATCCATAAGGCCACCACGGATAACTTCCCCGCAAGGTGGTGCCTACTTTATCCACCCCAATGGTATGATGAGTCGACCGCCGACCAGGATTTGAACTCGCAGCAATTCCATTGAGAGCTGGCCGGACACCCCAGGTAAGCTCAGGAATAAGACAACTCTCGCGATATAACATAGGATAATCATGGATAGGCGTGCCTTGCACTCTCGTGGTAGTGCCTTACGACGAGGATAACGCGTGGCTCATTCGTCGCCGCCGTCGTCACGCCTCGTGTCCGCGGCCAGACCAGAGGCACAATTCCCTTCCTCCGCGGTTACATGCGGGAAGTACCGGGTGGGGAACTCGTGCGTGGGAACGGGGGTCTGTCCCCGGGGGTCTATCCCCTAGGGGTCTATTTTTTTTAGGGGTGGGGGGGGGGCTCTATCATCGGGAGGTTTATCGTCAGGGAGTTTATCCCGAGGGGTCTATCCTCGGGGGGGGGGGGGCGGGGTCTAACTTCGAGGGGTCTATCCCTGCGGAGCCGAGGGCGCGAGGCGGCCGTGGCGGCGCGCACGGGGCCGCAGCATTGCCGAGCGAGCGAGGAGCTAATTGTTCAACATTATTCCGCTTTGTCGCCTCAGCACTGGCGCGCAGCGAGCTGTCAGCAGGGCCCCGGGGCGCCGCGCCACCCACTACCAGGGCAGCGTGCAATGTGAGGTTGTCGTCTCGCTCGTGGCCTAGGAGGAGGGGGGAGGTGCGGGCCCCGAGACAAATCCCACGCTGTGTGGGCCCCAAAGCGCGGGGCCCGAGGCGCTCGCCCCGACCCGCCGTGTACCCGAGGCACGGCTCTGGTTGTTGCTGCTGCTGCTGCTGCTGCTGCGTTGGGCAGGGCCGCGTGGGTGAAGACAGAGTGTCCTCGCCAGTAACGTCTCCCGGTAGGCGATGCTTGATGAGACCCAGAAAGTCGAAACCGCTCCACAGTTCATACTTCACGATTAGCCGCTAGGTGGGTGGGGGGGGGGGGGGGTTAAGGTGGTGGCCCAGGGCCGGTTGTGATCTCTTTATATCACTCGCCACCTGAAATCGTCGCTTCAAGTGCACAGGTGCGCCGCGGTATTGTCAGAATAACAGCAGCGGACGTCACCGTTCGCCAGCGGGGACAGACCAACTCTCCCTCCGTGCCGTTCAGTGACCGATTCAGCTCCCAACACCCCTCACCGTTGGTCTCGCGGTTGCGGTACTGCAGACAACCGTCAACCCCCGGGGCCTGTCAACTTCCTCATGCGCTGTCGGGGATGAGCGAGCGATGTGATCGCGCGAGCTCGAAAGCGAAGTCCCGTGGTTGGCGGACATCAGGACGGGCTGGAGTAGCCGCACCTGACGCTCCAGCTCGACAAGAGGAGCCCGATTCGCGAGTGCTTCGGCTTCAGACGAACCCCGCCCGGGTCCCCGCTCGTCCTGGGGAAGACGACGACTCTCGCCGCGGCATCGTTCCCACGCGACCTTCCACGCGGTTGTCAGCCCGTCCCCCGCGATGGGTGGCAGCCGTCCATCAGCGCGGGTCGGCTGCGTAACGGGGCGAAGGGAGTTCAACGGACGGTACTTGACGTGCGAGAGGTGGCGCCCTTGTCGGCTGTGTCCGGGACCAGTCTCCACGCTGCGTCGCACGTGTGACACGGCTAATTCCACGTTTGACATCAGCGCAGTGGCAAAACGAGCAGCGTGAGGTCAGGCAGGGGGGTGCCTTACCCGAGTTGGCGGCCCCCTTGAAAGCCACCGTGAGATTTGTTTTCGACAACAGTGTACAACAACAACAACACTTATTTTGAAGCACGGTTTAAGTTTATTTTTCATGGAAATGCTTTCATTTAAGTTCCACGTTTTATTTTAATTTAATTTGAACAGTGAACGTCATATTGCACAGAGGTATGATGGAGCTCTTTAGTGGCTGCATTTTGCGAAGACGGAGGCGACTCCACAGCGTTAAATGTTCGAGACCGTGAGCGGAGTAACGAGGACGCGATATAGAATAGCCGACGGTGTGACACAAATCAAATACTGGGGCCTCATCTGATCGATTGCCGCACCCGCTGAGCTGATAATGTCGTTACTACGCCACTGATAATGTAGTTACTACGCCACTGATAATGTAGTTACTACGTCACTGATAATGTAGTTACTACGTCACTGATAATGTAGTTACTACTCTACTGATAATGTAGTCACTACACCACTGATAATGTCGTTACTACGCCACTGATAATGTCGTTACTACGCCACTGATAATGTAGTTACTACGCCACTGATAATGTAGTTACTACGTCACTGATAATGTAGTTACTACGCCACTGATAATGTAGTTACTACGCCACTGATAATGTAGTTACTACGCCACTGATAATGTAGTCACTACTATAATGTAGTTACTACGCCACTGATAATGTAGTTACTACGCCACTGATAATGTAGTTACTACGCCACTGATAATGTAGTCACTACACCACTGATAATGTCGTTACTACGCCACTGACAATGTCGTTACTACGCCACTGATAATGTAGTTACTACACCACTGATAATGTAGTTACTACGCCACTGATAATGTAGTTACTACGCCACTGGCTCAGCATAATGTTCAGCACTTTTCAATTGACTCCTGGTTAAAGACCTCCCCCATGCCGTGTCCGTCATGGGAATTGCTTGACCATACTTCACCGCGCTGGTGAGTGCGGGGCTGGTGGAGGAAAGTGGCCAACGACCGGTTCAGAAATCACTCGAATTAAACTGATGCATTCATCGGGTTTCTAGCGAAGTTCGTTCAACCACCGCGCCACCGCTCCTCGCAGTGCTGAGGGGGCGGGGGGAAGTGCCAATCGTTGCTGGGAATGTATGAAACAATCCGAAGTGCCTCGCTCCCATGGGCTTCTTTATCACTGAGAAAGAGGGCCTATAAATATTGCGTTGCTGAGACTGCACCGCCTCGCATATGTGCGAATAACCCCCCACCACCACCACCACCACACAACAACAACAACAAAACAACGATCCCCCCGACATCATCATGGCATCCCACCCAGCCCAGCCACAGCCCCACTCACTAGCCCTGCAGCAGCAGCAGGGCTTGTGGCAAGCCCCTCTCTCCGCTCGCCCTGTTCCCAGGCCGCGTCTCTGCGGCTGGCGCCAGCGCGCCCCGAGCCAGCGCGCCGCTTCAATCGGAGCCCTCCCGGCGTCGCGGCACAATGCCCACCGCCACCACCGGCACCGTGCGCCCGCGGACCGCTTTGTCTTCTCCCCCCCCCCACCACCACCTTGGCTAAGCGGGGGGCTCCCCCCGTTGCGGGGCCACGGAGGAGGAGGAAGAGGGATGAGAGCCCAGGGAAGTTGCGGAGGTGGAGAGAGAGAGAGAGAGAGCGGGGGTGGGCGACAGAATTGGAAGTTGTTTGGGAAGCGTGGTGGTGGGGAGGGCGCGTGATGGTTTGGGAGGTGGTGGTGAGGAGGAAGAGGAGGGTGACGATGGCGAGGGGACCGGTGGGCGACTTTCGCCAGCAGTGCCGCAAGCGCCACCGGGCTGCCGCGAACGAGCAGGGCACGAACCGCTGCCTCTGTTGCGGATCAAACGCGGATCTGGTTTCGATGGCCGTGGGGAGTCTCCCGGGATCGGTTCGCTCGCCGAACGAGGGGAGACGTCGCGCTCACTGCTCGCGTGACGGATCGGAGCTGACATCGGGCGTGATCAGTGACGTGTAAGCGACGTTTCGAGATCAACCTGCCCGTGATCGCATGGAATCCGTCACGTCTGGATAATTGTCACTTGAAAAGATAAAATAAAATCTGTC